CCCCCCCCCCGACAGCCCTTAGCCCCAACACCTGTTGGCTCTAAGTGACCACGGAGGTGCACTGCCAACTTCCCTGCTGAAAGACACTGTGTCAACAGGACAGCTCAGATTATTAAGAACTAAAACTACAAAGAAGTACTTTAAACTGAGTCAAGGTCACAACATTCAAAGACCTTTTCTGACCCTGGGTAACATGTTAATGTGCCAAATGGGGGAAAAAGTAAAGATATGATAGTAATAAAATACACAGATACTATCTAAAATAACTTTATGAGTAACAGAATATTTTTCTGACCACAGCCTTAGTAAAAATAATACGTAATAGCCACAGCAGGAACAGGAACCGAGAGCGCTATTGCCCACCTCCACTGGGGAGGAATGCTGTCTTTGGGGCTGGAGTGTGGCTCTGACAGAAAAGGTTCACCAGCAAGAATAACTACAAAAAGCTGCAGCAGAGGACAGCAAACTGCAGCACTGCTAGGACAAAATGTGCTTCAAGGCCACACCAGAACACCTGATTTTAGCAGAAGTGCCTGCGAGGGCAGAATTTGGCCTATATTCTGTACAACTCAGGTTTCTGTTCGTAGAGGAGGAGGGAAATAAAGCCTCTAGACTTAAAGCAGCAATCTGCAGAAGAGTGAAACTAATCCTGCAGCATTCTGGACAGAAGGACCCCAGTCCCTTATTAAACAATATAAGGGTAGTGTCATTAAATCTTCATACCAAAAAGAGAAAATTGAGAAACTTAGGTCTTTAAGATTGACCTATGAAAACTCCTTCAAAAATATATCTGTATATATTAAAACAAAAAACAAAAAAAAAAAAACAAAAAACAAACAACCACTTTATTTTGAATCCAAAAAATCTTGTAAATGTGACATTATCAAATATTAAATGCAGCAGCCACCCTAATGGCCCATCAATGCAAATATCCCTTTTCCAAGATGTGCCTGTATTCAGGCCTATCATTTTGCTGCTTCTATACAGTCAAAGATGATAAGGATCAATTTGGCACCCAAAGAAATGAGTTTCCAGATGCTGGCTAGTGATAATAGTTAAACCAGTCACCTTAATTCCTATGAGAGAAACTGCTGTGTGACTAACTCTCACCTTTCACTCCTGCAACAAGGGCTCAAAGCTTGAGTTGAGGCAAGAAGCGAAACAGGCAAAGTGATGAGACGGCTCCTCTTGTTAGAAAAAACGTGCTTAATATGGAGAGCCCACAAGAGCAGCTTTCCTATATGAACATCATGTGAAATAGCGTTTTGGTGTTTTCAGCCCATCTCCAGAGAGGAGGTTTTCCATCACAGCAGTTTCCATAAAGGCACTGTACATTACACGGGTAAAACATGGCAGTCCCATTTAACTCCAGTCAAACCTGCAGTTTTATCACTGCATCTTGTGTCAACTGTACCAAGGTGTTTCAGACAGTAGCTGATGGATTTTCACACAAGCAAGTAGATAAGCTCTCATAAGGAACTTTGTTTAAGTGTCCAAAATCCAAGAGCAGATGGAAAAGCCAAATTTTTAGTTTTTTAAATGGGCAAGTAATCATAGTGAAATATTTGTCAGCTTGTCACTATGACTTTTTGGAGTTGTGGTTTATGGAAAGGGCAAGAAAGCATAAAAAAAAAAAAAAAGTGGAGTTCTTGGTTTAATTTACATTTCTGTTCTAGTGTGCACCCAATTTGTCCATCAGGGACTTGATCCAAGTTGTAGCAAAATCAAGTTTGGGACCATTCCTCTAAGTTTAAGAGCAAACAGATGGACTTAATTTTTTACAATTTCAATCCTTTGGAGGTCTCTTCCCTCTACGCCTTATATTTTGAAAGCTATATTGCCAAGCAGTGTCGGCCCCAACTTTGGTTGTCCTAAAACCATGGAACTTTCATGAAAGAAGCTTAATGACAAAAAAAAATTGTTAAAGAAATCCAACTTCAAGCTTCAAAACTTTATGAAAAACATGTAACAATACACAATTCTGGAAAATGTTGCTTTGCTGCTATGGGGTCTATAGCCAGGAGAAAGTATAACATTATATAAAATCCTAAAAGAACACAGCTAATTGAATAAACCCACCCTCTTCTACAATGTTGCAGATTACTTAATCCACAATGGTCCTGAAAACAAGTTTAACACTACAGATAACTATGTTCTTCAAAACAAAAGGAATGAAAATGAGAGGAAAACGTTATTGTTCATCAAACAGAAAAACTAAAACCAGTGCTAGGCTAGGAAAGAAAGAATGGTTAAGCTCACATTTCTAAAAGGGTATTGCAAACAAAGAATCATGAACAACAAAAATAAAATATAAAAAAGGAAAAGATACAAGAGCGCTTAATGGTGTTCTTTTAAATATTTACTTTGCTGCTATTTAGAGAATAATTTGTTCCATTTAGTACTGCTGGGCTCAAAGGAGCGCTTTAATCCAGAGAGATTAATTATAGCCTTTGGAGTTATAAACACAATTTGGGAAGCAAAGCAAAGAGGAGAGAGACACCTCTCACACTGGCAATTAAGTTTACGCACTTCAGGGCTACACCACACAGGCTATGCCCCTGCTACACCTGCATGCTATAGGCAGAACAGTGCACAAGACACCCATACATTGGAGAAAAGCAGTTCCCGAGATGTCCAGGGAAGACACTACCTACCCTACAGCACTGCTATAGACAACTAAAATACTTCTCAGGTGTCCTTCACTGAAATACAATTTCACCTACACCTTATCAAGATGTCCTCTGATGTCACTCTCATTACTTGTGCCAGAAACAAGTCACCGTGCTGAGACAAACAGCAGCACTCAGCAGGCCCGGGACCCCATACACACTGCCTTTAAACCTCTCACGTGCTTCCACGCATCTCTCCCTCTGCTCATTGCAGTGTCCCACACCAGGAGATCAGTGACGAGGCAAGGCTGGGAGAGATCTTACCTAGTGAGGGGTTGGTTGCTCCTTCCTCTGAGCTCTCCTCAGCCCCCTCCTCCCCTAGGCCGGAGGTGGCCGAGTCTTCCGGGGCTGATGCAGAGCCAGGGGTGCTGGGCCCACTGACAGACCCCGAGTCCCCCTCCTCGCTGCTGGAGCCATAGCGGTCAGGCTGGGTGGCTGTCCCGCCCTCGCCGCAGCTCCTCCGCTCCTTGCGGTGCACCCGGGAGTGAAGCACCATTTGGTGGTAGGTGCGGAAGATCTTCCCACACTCAAAGCACTCGGTGGACTTGTTCTGGGTGGCCCGTCGGCTCTGCCGTGAGGCAGGGCGGTAGTCCAGGTCCCCCTGGGTGAGTGTACAGCTCTCCCCCAGTGGGGTGCCGCTAGTTTTCTCTGGGCGCCCACCGGTGCAGCTCTTCTTCTTGGGGTTGCTGGAAGAGCTGGGCAAGTCCTGGTCTCGCTTGCGCTTCTCCTGGTTGACGAGTATATACTCTCTCTTATCCTTGTCGTAAGTCACGTCCGCATCTGCCAGGGCCTCGTCCCATCCCACATATTTCACATACTCTGAGGGTTCTACTACTTTTCCTTTGGTGGCCAGCTGCCAAGCTTGGTAGCTACTGACTGGATCCAGCTCAGCTACTCTTTTCCCAGGCTGTCCTCTTGTAACTATATCCAGCCCTACAGATGGCCTTAGATTGAGACACTGCAAGAAAAACTGCTTTGTTATGGAGGAGCTTAGGCTCCCATCAATTAAGCCCTCAGCTTTATCCCCAGCACTGCCCCGCTGCACTCGGTAGTGAACAGCGTTATGTGCTTTCAGACTTTCCATATTTGTAAACAGATTTCCACACTTGGTGCAAACTTCATACAGAGACAGGCCAGTCACAATCGTCTCCTCCTGTATCACATTGTTGATAGTGGCTATGAGCTCCAAATCATTTTTTGGTTTGTTTTTGCTCCCAGTCTTGGGGCCATGCGACTTCATGTGGTTTTTGAGAAACCAGGGCTCTTTGAATCTCCTGCCACAAATGTGGCACCCATGATCAAATGACCCCCTGTGCTTTTTCATATGAGCTTTCAGGAACCAGGTTTGACTAAAGGCCTGACCACAGACTTCGCATGGAAACTCGCCCGCACTCAGCTCGCTCTTGCAGTTCTCAGTATAGGCCTCCCCATTTGGAACCTGAGCTGTTATGTGGTCCTTCTCTATGTGGTTTAACAGCGTCTCCTCCCTCAGGGTCATGTAGTTACACAACCTGCACTTGAATGGTTTGTGGACCTGGTGCAGGTGCTGCTCCAGGTCCTTCTTCCTTTCAAATTTGTTTTTGCAGAAGGTGCACTGGTAAGAGCTCAGCTTGCCATCCTCCTCAGCTGGCACCACCTCCATCACCTCCTTCTTGCTGCTTCTCAACAAGATCTTGCTGCTATCTACCTGAGCAGTACCATTCAAGATCTTGTTGCAGGCAGAAGTACTTTTAGTGGGGCTGGTGCACCCACCGAGGCCCTCTGACACACCCATTTCCCCCAGCTGCGCCTCTCCCATCTCCGTCTCATGCCCCTGACTTAAAGTGCCTGTTCTGTGACTACGGATGTGGATCTTCAGGTTGCCCTTTTGGGAAGCTCTGTGATCACAGTAAGGGCATTTGTAGGGCTTCTCACCCGTGTGCTTCCTCATGTGCTGCGACAAGGAGCTCTGAAAAGGGAAACTTTTACCGCAGATGCAGCAGCTGTGGCACGTGGTCTTGTCAGTATCCATGTCATTCTTGCCTAGTTTGCCTGGGCTGGAGGATCTCCGCAACTCCATTTCTGCCTCTCTACTACAATCCATCTGTCTTACTGCAACAGAGGGTGAGCAGGGCAGGAGGACAAAAGCATGTCTGGCAGCAGAGGAGGGCTGGACCGTGTTTTCAATCATACGGTTCTGCAGAGAAGTGTTTTACTGCTTCATTCTCAGGGTAATGTTTCTCCTTTCAGCTGCTCAAGAGAGTCCGAAGTGTCTATTTATTTCCGTAAGCTCTGTAAGCGGATGGCATAGATCACCTGAAAAAAAGAACCAAAAAAAAAAATCATCACAAAAATGTACAGAAATTGTGTGAGTAGATTCTTAAATATATTTAAACCTATTCATATTTTTAATTCAACAGATTACATCACTCACCCCACATTCAGAAGCATACTGTACTACAATTTATTGCACCAAAAAGCAGCAGCTTCTCCATTTGCTGATTGGCTAAACTTCAATGGCAAGCATGATTAATAAACAAGTAAAATCCAAAAAAGAGCATTTATTTCCATATACTGACATCACAGTCTCTTTAAAAAAGTTCAATCTTTAAATTTTTTTTTTGTTTGTTTTAAAACCAGGCAGAAGTGGCTAAAAATACAGCTTAAATGAGGAAAACATTTCTTGAGGAGGTTATTACACTTTAAATCTGTGGCTTTACCATCATGTGCAATTTCATGTAAAATACTTACTTGCCAAAGAGACTTTAGCAAATACCATATTCCTGCTGGCAACTGCATTACTTTGTATCTCAGGCAGCTCTGCTGTGCTTGATGTGGCATAAACAGAGCAGGCGCAGAGTCTGAGGACACTCAGTACTTTGATTAGTGAGAAAACACAAGAATCCAGAGCCTGACAAAGCATTCAGGAAAACTAAGTTATTTCCTGATGGACAATGAAGAAAAAAAAACCTCAAAGTGTAACATTTAACCTCAATCTAACAAAGTAAACTGATAATGTGCATAGGTATCAAATGATCTTAAAAGTGAGTCATTTATGTCAACAAGACATACAGGAAACCACAGCACCACCCACCTCAATGAAACAGAATCTTAACCATAAACAAAAAAACAAAACAAGAAACAACTTTGATTAACAAAACAGATTAATAAAAGTTTAAAAGCTTTTGTATAGTGACATGATTAAATGCAAGGGCCAATATCTGCCTCAGCGATGCAAGATGCAACACACCAGCAATTCTCCACCTTGTATACGGCAAAAACCAATGGTTAAGATCTCCACAGATTGTTTCTTTTCCAATTACCACACTGTAAACCAAAAATCTTCCCCCCTTCCTATCCTCACTAAGTACTACAAACACCACATGACTAAGATCAAAGAATACTGTATTCTCTAATAAAGAGAACCAATCTATTATTACATTAAGAAAACATCAGCTTCTTAAAACATAGCTAAAAATATGCAGAATAATAACAAGACTATATAGTCACACATCCATCACTTGACATCTATAACTAAATAAAGTTACAGATCTACAGCTGCAAATTTTAAGGTTTCTCACTGTATTCACCTCTGAGTCTCTTCAATATGTAAATAAGTAAATAGTCTAACCACATCACTGGCACAAGCCTAAGAAGAGGTAAAACTGATGCAATGCTCATCTCAGTTACACACTACAGAATAACTTTATTTAATTCAATCTAGCCCTCTTATTTGCTACAGGACCATTCATTTCTGGGTTTGATTTTCTGCATATCTAGTATTCATTCAGCATGTTAAGAGTTATTAACAGCATCTACTCAAACTACCTTTTCCTCGGAGAACTGACAGTAATATCTAAGGGACATTACACATTACAAATGCAATTTCATTTCTTGAATGAAGTATTTTTATATTATGACTAATTTATCATGACTTTTAAAATAAAGCAAATCAGATCACATCAATCCATATGAGCAGGTAGCTTAAAAACAAGAATATCTAAATCTCTGAAATTAGCCATTTAAAACCAAATTGAGGGGCAGCCTCAGAAAAAACTCCCTAGGTATATAAAGAAGGATGGCAACCACTGGAAGTTGTGGCTGTACCAGAAGGTGCAAACATGCTAAACAACAAATACAAATGCAGTTTACACCACATGTTGATGGATGAAACAATTCACAGTAACATCTTATTTATCTGATCCATAATTTAAATCTGCCAAATAAAAACTGATATTGTCTTACAATCGAAGACTTAACCTAAAACTCATTAAATCATAAAAAGAAATACCGGGGTAACTTACTGCATTTAACAAGTAACAACTTCGAAAATGTTCTGCACGTTGTAGAAAAAAAGATAGCAAGCTTTGGGAACAGATTTTTCTGAGTATTTTGTACAATGTTTTCTATATTCTGCATCTTCTACAGTTTACACCAGTAAGAACACTGCTTATCGGTAGGCTGACTTTTAAACTAGCAGGTTTGAGTTTTGTTGTTTGTTTGTTTGTTTTTTGGTTTTGGTGTTTTGGGTTTTTTTTTTAATGTACGTCCCATTTTAACTCAACTTTCTACAGTGTTTCCTGTCTGAAAGGTCAAAAGATCTTTAAGAGTCAAACTTAGACAAGAACGCTGTATGCAGCAGTTCAGACACATATAACCCAAAGCTTCAGAGTCCTTTTGTTTACTCAGCCACAGCTTCCCTGTGCTAAGTCTTGACATATTACACTTCAATTATTTATAGCATTTTCATTAATGAAACTTAAGTTATGAAAATGAGTATATGAAGAAAGCATTACTTGTAAGAGAGATATTAGTCACTTGCAGGAGATCCCCTAGCCCTATATTAAATTAGGCCTGAGGGGGAAAAAATTCAGAATTTTAAAATTACCAAATTATTTTATTAGTATAAAATATTTAATGGAAGCATTATCATCTACAGCAAAATATTATGAGAAAATTGTTTCATCTTTATTACTTTAGCTTGGCCAATGCACTGCAATTTATAACTTTAAAAGTTGAAATAAAGTATTCCTAGATTTGAATTATTTGAATTCATACACATTTAAAACTCACAAAATTTCACAACTGATCTTCCACAGACAGAAATTCAGGCAGAGAAAGTGCGTTCACCCAATCTGAGTTTACTTTACATGGTGTATGGAGATTTCCCTTAGGCTTTGGTAAATCGACTGACACAAACATATATGAACAACTTACAACTCCCTCCTCACATCATTTGACTGCCACTTAAAAGTAATTCCTTCAGAGGGGCTCTTTGCAGAAGAGCAGAGCCAGTGTTCATTATAAAGAAGCAGTAAAAACAAAGTAAAAATGACAACTTTGAAAAAAACTTCTATTTGGAAGGCTGAACATACAAAATGAGGAAAACTATAATACTTCTGAAGAATCATACCAATACAAAATAACATTTTGGCTTAATAGCTTCCAGCTTAGTATTAATCATTAAACAATTATTTCAACATCAGAGATGGCACAAGGAATGGAAGATGTCAATCAAACTACACTGATTACTCTTCCACTGTGAGTAAAAGTTTTGTGATGGATATTTTTGTTTCTTTCTGGCTGACTACAATAATAAAAATATTTGCATTTTGAAACAATTATGCATCTGAAAGTATTCTGAAATAATTCTCTTTCAGCACACATGTAATGCTCCCACCTCCAGCTACCCTAAGGCTATAAAAAATGTTTTAACTCTCAGTAATTTCAGGTGTAACCAGTAAGCTTTCATCGCTTTGGTCCAAGTTCAGCCTGAGTTCCTTAGCACCGGCCTGTCACACAGAATCCATAGCAGAGTCACATCCAGCGTGCAGATTTCTCCAAGACTGTCACAGTGTGGAGATCCCCACTGGCACAGCGGCAAGCCATAAGGAAATACAAGTGAATGTACACTGTAAATTAACTGTCTTTAAAAATATTTTGTGTGCTTTAACAGCATTGCAGCCTATCCACTCCTTGAGGGGGGCATTTGATATTCTGTTACAAGGGGCATATGAACTAGATTCACTTAGTTTTGTTGAACCAAGGATCACAGTTCATACAAGAAGCCACTGGCCAGTGTCCGGGAGGCATTTTCAGACCCCTTAAAACCAAGGCACTCAACATCATCACTGTTTACATGCAGGTTTGGTATATAAAGCAAGATGGAAGAGAAACATGAACAAAGACCCAAAAACAAGAGGGATGTCATGCCAAGAAATGCCTTTGCTCAACCAAATATTTTAGTTATAAGGCTTGTTCCTGCACCTCACAGAGTCTTTTCCTTGATCCACATGGGAACAAATAAACAAACTCTTTTTATTCCCCCACCCGAAAGCAAAAAACAAGCTTTCCTACAAGCTTAAATCAAGTGTCTGTCAGAATCACCACTATTTCAAACATTTAGCCATCAAAACTTCTCTGGTTTTAAAAACTAACTCGGAAAGAGTTCTTAGCTTGAGAGAAAACACACTTGGTCAAAGCAAGCTGCTCTCACCATGGAGCCCCAGTACCTTTCTCAGCATCAGCCATGGATTACTTCTCCAGGGAGGCCATGGTAGCCCATCTCTGCTAGTGGCATGGCAGGTACACCAGTGCATAGCTGCATCATCCTCACAACTTTTGCAAGACCCTCACATAGTCTTGAAGTGAAGCATGTGTAAAAGTACAGGGGAACTGCATTTAAATAAAAGAGAAGCACTCAAATACCTATTACTCTTCTCATGCCACCTGCACGTTCTGGAAGAGGACCAGGTATGCTGTGAGAACTCCCCACAGGGTAAGACAGACCCTCTTAAGGATCTTTTGTGCCTATTGGAAAACATTGGGGAAAAAAATTAAGAAATCAAAACTAAGCAACACAAGATGACTGAAAAATAGAATGCAAGAGATACCACACTGAAAAATTAATTGCAAATTAATTTCTTACAAACAAATATCCTGCACAGTGCAGACAGAGGAAAACATACAAGAAAATTATTCCTATTCCAACATACAGAAGACTACAGATTCTTTTTTAATTGCTCTTTTTCAATTTCTCTTCAGTTAAACCTGACTTTAAAAATCATATTGCATGGGCTGTAGTGGCAAGGAAGGAAAACTCTTCAGTAAGTAATAAACGAGAACATACAATCTGGGAAGCTACATAGACCTATTCAAACAGTACAGTGTATTTTTTAAAACAAACTGCTTTCAGTTGGGGTGCAAGTATTTCAAGTCCCATCTGAAAGACAAATGCCCTGGAGAAGTATGGCTCTTCTCATCTCCAAGAAGTTTGAATATACACTGCAATGAATCCACCATGTTCCTCTGCCAAA